CCACAAGCATTGATTAAAATAATTGAACAAAGTTGGAGGATCATTGTCTGGGTCCTGAAACGCATCTGGAGTGTAGTAAAAGGAAAAGCATATTGAACTTTGAGAAACATCACAGTACATGCCTAGTAGAAATGAGTGGGAGAAGTGTTGAGGGTGCTCTTATCTTACTGGATATTGTAGTATTTGAGTGAGTACTTCCATGCTTTATAACTGAGGAAATGCCTAGTGGAGCTATGGACAGAGCAATCAGTGAGTCATATGACTGTAGGACAATGCGGGAAGATCATTACTCCCCATCCTTTACTGAACAGGCTTTGGTCTTCTCACAAGTAGATACTGTTCATATAATATTATGTACTTCTTTTAGTGAAGATATACAGTAGGAAGAGAAAGTACCTCATTATTCAAAGACAACTAATTTGTGTACTTCTCCCATTGACTTTTAGAGTCTGATGAAAAGGAAGCATGAGTCACCAGGATAGGAAGTTTGTCTAGTCTTCACCCTCATCCACTGTACACTTTTCTCTAAGGTGTCCCAGGGGTCAATTCTTCCAAGTTCTTTTATGAATACATAGTACTGGTCATAGTATCAAGCCAGGCACCAACACATGTACTTGATATCCCCACATGGCCTTCCTTTTGAACTTCTTTCAAGTTTGCATCACTTGCCCTTATCAGCTTCTTCACTTCTGAATCACAAGACCTGTGTTGCTGCTTGAGGGTCAGACATAAGTACAGCTGAACTTTGCTTTGATCTTTTCTCTTAATTAACAGAAGCCATTTCCGTGGTAAAAGAGTGTGATTTTTTTCTCTCTGGCTTCAACTGCCAAGTTTTTTTCCCCTAAGAGCTGCCAACTTACTGCCTCATTTCTAATTTAAAATATTAAACAGAGCTGCTATTCCCCAACCACAGCTGCAGTCAGTAGTGAATTTGCCTTCCACTTTGGGGACATAAAACTTGATTAGAATTTTGTCTTTACACCATGGAGAAAGTATTCAAACCAGATTTTCTAAATTCTTGGGTGATGTGCTTGACCACTTTAGGCAGCAGTAATTTCTCTAGGAAAGAATAAAGACCCCTGCCATTGGGATATTTGCAGCTCACTCCCAGATCACTTCTGGAGAGGACATGGAAAGAGAGCTTACCATGAAACACTCTAACTTGTCATGTTCTTGCACTGCCTCTCCATTTGATGTTTTATTTAGTCTCTTAAGATTGGAATTTCTGGACTCAGAAGCCTGGGAGAATAAGTGCAGCCCTTGGGGGAATGATGCAGAATTTCACTGAAAGAAAGTACATCTTTCTCTGCATCTATTTGTCATTTGAAAAACAAAAACAAAGCTTAACAATTTAAATTCTATTGTTTTCAGTTAGTAATGTGCAATGAAATTAAAGTCCTAAATCCAAATGTTCTTATATAACCTAGGACCATAGCCCAAGGATAATATCAGCCAAAATAAGTTGGGCCCTTACACATGAATCACCAATTAAGAAAATGCCTATAACAGACTTGCTATAGGCCAGTCTTATGGACACATTGTCTTAATTAAAATTCTCTCTTCTCAAATGTCTAGATTTGTGTCAGGTTGACAAAAAAAAACCCAATCAGGATATATACAGAACTAAACTGTTATTCAAACTATATAATAAAATCTTAATTAATCCCTGTGTTTTTCTTGATTGTTTTAGCGACACACTACCACTGAAAAGGTTGTGGAGAATGTGAGCCTTTATGAAGACCTGATATTTGGACGATAAGCCAAGTAGGATGAAAGTGAAATCAATTGGGTGAACACTTTCAAAGCAAGGGTGTAAGTCATCAATAGGATGAAATTTCTTTCTTCAACAAGGATCTACTCCTACAATGATTAGCTTTGTGCCTTATCATTGTTCAGTTCTCCTCACTTACAAATTTGGTCGCACATGCCATAAGGCTGTCATGAAAATTAAAGGAATTAACCCATTTAAGTCTTTGGAAAAGAACCTGAAACACAGTAAAGCTCAATTAAAATGATAGTTATTTCAGAAATAACAAGAAACCTGTGAGGGCACTTTTGTTACTATGACAAATTGGAAGAAGTTAATGGTGATAATCCCATTTGAGCTGGGAAAGCTTCATGGAGGATTTAGGTAGCTTCATGATTATACAAAAAGGAGAGAGAATTTTGTAGGTTGAAGGTGACAGAAAGTGTCAATGTGGGATCAAAGTGTTGATCAAAGAAATTTTGGAGGTACGATCTTAAATTATAGACTGCACATGCCTCCATCCCTAACACAGAAGCTATCTTCAGGGGGAATTGCAACTTTGCCACCCATCACAAGAAACTCAGATTTTAATTTATGATGAATTAGGTGTCCATAGTTTCTACTGACAGACCTTGAAAGAAAGGCAAATAATTCAGCACCTACCATAGAGATCACTTCTTGGAAGCATATTAAATCTGGAAGCTAGATCAGTTTGGCATTGATATTTTAGGACTGGTATTCTAACTCTCCATTTTACAATGTCAAAGCCTTGGGGTGGGAAAGGCACCATAGGGAATGGGATATTCTGCTTACAAAGGAAGTGACTTTGCACAGGCGTCATTTTCTGTGAGTCTCAGTTTATTTGTCTACAACTCAACGATGAGTTGGCTGTTCTCAGGGTCAATTGAAATAGAATGCATAGGTCCCGATGTGGCCACTAGAGTGAAAATGTTCCTGGTAGATTCCCTGTCACTCGTCCTTTCCTCACTCTTCTCTGTGGATACTGCTGCCAAAGACTTCCAGAACTAACTTACAGGACCATTGTAACTCAGAGTTTTGGCCACTCTGTTTTTTCAATGACATCGATAAGTTAAAAATTCTTTGTACATGTAGGGAACTGTTTCATGGTTGTTTTATAGCATCATCTCATTTATATTATTTTTAGAACATGAAGCATAAAGAACGATGATTTGAAATTTCAGTGAAGAGTTTCAAGGAGGAGTCCATCCATGATCTTCCCACTATTGCAGTTATGTAGCCCATAGGACACATTTCTTAGAGCCCAGTGGCCTTGATATATTTTCTCCATGAAAATAAGAATATTATATTTGATATGCAGGTCTTACCTGCTTTCCTTGAGAAGGAAAAGACCATACTTGTGATCAAAGAGATACTGGACGACAGAAAGGGTGATTTTCCTAAAAGTTTCCAAGAGGTCACTTACCCAGCTATGTGTTCTTAGTTCTTCAGATGTCATATGGATAAAATAGGTGTCCCAAAAGACTGTCTTGAGGATGAGAATAAAGGTCAATTACCTTCTGCAATTTCGCATTCATAGAGAGTATGCAACACATATTTGTGGTGTTCTTTATCATGCCCAGGACAGAAGTGCCTATTCACTACTCTAGCAGGTTGTAGAGCTGACAATCTTGTTCAGAAGAGACTGGTAGCATCCTTGCATGCTGCTGTTAACAGATGAAGAATTAATTAACCTAGCAAGACCTATGACATAGAGCGTCTGAAAGGGTTGGGTTTGTGGACTCTGAAAGCTAGGTGAAAGTTGTATGATACATGCCAGCTGCCTTCCTTCATCACCTTTAGGCTTGTGCATGTTTGTACATCACTCTCTCATCTCTCTCTCTCTCTCTCTCTCTCTCTCTCTCTCTCTCTGTGTGGGGGTGTATACATTTTAGTAGCCATAGATAATTTGGTAGAATTTCCTCTAAAACATTTTTTAAATGATGAGACAAAAATGAGTAAAACAGCTGTAAAGCCAAAATCTTCTTTCTGAAAACCATGAAATTAAGAAAGATGAGAGCCTGAGACTCCCTTGGTTATCCAAGTTTGCTATTATTGCAAGTGTGGCTTCTGTTGCTTTTCATTATATCTGAAACAATAATAATAACTGAAAATAGTAGTAAGACTCTGAATTGCAGCTGAGCTTCCCCCTGCAGCCATTAATTCTGTATTTTGATGAATGTGGATCTCTGTAGTAAAGTTTTTCAGTGACATTTGATAATGTCACAGATGTCACAAAGTGAATTTCTAAAAGACAATGCTTGTAGAGTTTCCACGTTTTTGAACAAGTCAGTGTTTAAAAAACTGAGATAGAGGGACAATGATCATCAAATAGTGAACTCTACTGTAGCATTCAGACTCCATCTGTTTCATCCTCATGCGGCTTCCTATTTGTCTTTAAGACATGGCATGTTGTCCTGTGTTCCAGACACATTTCTTCCTGTGAATTTTCTTAGACCCCTTGATTGCCTGGAATGGACTCTGTCACATTCCTGTCAGCTGGAATTCCTAACAACAGATAAAAAAACATCCTTCACAGAGAATTCTCCAAAGCTTTTGACTCAACAGGATATTGTTGCAATACTTCATAACATCCTTTTATTGCTTATAATACATTATCTCTGCTTTGTTTTTGTCAACTTACCTCACATATTTTACTGTCAGATGTTTAAAGTAAATGCTGCAACCTGATTTATTTGTTTTATGTTTCTGTGTAGCCAATGATTATCATGAGGTTGTACAATAATTGCATACCCATGGCCACTTTGAATGTCTATTGAATTGAGGTGGATGTCAGAACAGGGTCAGGACTGAATGCCATCCCTAGAATGCACATCAGTCATATAGCTTTGCTTCATTAACTCATGGTTGAGTTACTATGCATCATGCATTTTGCCAGCTTCTGGGAACAAAAATGACAAGTAGAGCTTAGCTTCAGTCTTAAAGTTATGCATAGGCTCCTAGAGGAATTCATATGTAAGCAAACAAATGCAATGCCTCATGGCCCTTGCTCAAAATCACACAGCCTGTGGGCAATGGATCTGTGATTAAAATTCAAGTCTATTTGGCTTCAGAGTCCCCAAGCACATCACTTCCAGAGCAGAAAAGCTGGTGGTGTTGAGGGTGGTTTCTGCTCAGACCCCTTAGGGAGAAGCAGTAGTCTCTGCTGAAAAGCTTGTGATCCTGTTCTAGCAGCACTGTTAAATCAAATCATTTTGTTGTATTCACAAACTAGGTTCTCCAGAAGCTGGGGAAAGCCGATGAAACAAAAGATGAACAGTTTGAAGAATATGTCCAGAACTTCAAACGGCAAGAGGTGAGTTCAGGTCTTAGTTTTCTGCAGCAGGAAGAACTGTTTGTGTTTTCATGTGTGGTATAGTTTGCATCACTCCCCAAGCTCATGTATAGGACGTTAATCCCCACTCTGAAGTCTTAAGGCCCCAATTTAATCTACTATGGTGTTTAGAGGCAAGGCTTTTCAGAAGTGGATAGGATTAGAAAAAGCCATTCCTGGTGGCTTTATAAGAAGAGGGATAGAGGCGGAGATACATGCTTTCTTGTTCTTGCCATGTGACTCTGAACTGCCTCAGGTCTCTGCCAGTAAGCCTGTCATTACTGCATGTCCCCAAGAAATACAAGCTGAAGTAAATCTCAGGTCTTTATACTGCACTTAATCTGTGATCCTGTGTTGCTGGCAATACAAAGTGGACTAACATAGCACAAGGATGATACTCGAGATTTTTAAGAGAGGCAGGGGTTATAGGCAGCAAGTTTGGAGTATAGTTTCAGGATATTATATTTTGCTACTCTGAACCTTTGCAATGAGATGGCTAAGATAATTGAAAGATGTTGTTTCAGCACTCCATATTCCACAGAATCCTAGAAAGACATTACACAAGGCTGTCAATTGATTTCAGTTAGTGTCTACTTTAAGAACATGCAATCTTTGGCTGGAGAGGTGGCTCAGTCAGGAAAATTCTTACCTTACATGCAAGAAGATGTGAGTCTTATTTTTATCATACATATAAAAATGCAGGACATGATAGTATACACATATAATCCCAAGGTGAGGGAGACAGAGACATGAGAATACCAGGGGTTTGTTGTCTACCCTAATTGGTGAGCTTCAGGCCAAAGAGAGACCTGTCTCAGAGGATGTGATTGTATTTCTGAGGATGTTATTTCTTAGGTTGTCCTTCTACTTCTATACATATAGCCCTCCACCACCATACACGTGTTTCTTCACACATATACAGAGACACAGTTACATCCAACCCTTCCCTTTTTGACACACATTACATCTTCCCAAAAGGTTAAAACATATTCTTAGTAGGTAAAATGGAACTAAACTCTTGATGTCTAAGGCACAAATAAAAAACATGTGTTACGCCGGGTGGTGGTGGCGCACGCCTTTAATCCCAGCACTCAGGAGGCAGAGGCAGGCAGATCTCTGTGAGTTCGAGGCTGGGCTGGACCGATCGCCTCCAAAACAATACAGAGAAACCCTGTCTCATAAAAACCAAAATAAAAAAAAAACATGTGTTACATTCATAAATACATGAAATATCTATGCTGCTAAAATTTCATAAAGTATATAATTAAAGAAATGGTGTCTTGTAAGACTCCTTATAGGACATAATAGTAAAAAGTAAGTTTGAGAAGCAGTGTGTAAGAGGCTGGAGAAATGGCTTAGGGCTTAAGAGCACTGACTGTTCTTCCAGAGGACCCGTGTTCAATTCCCAGCAACCACATGGCAACTTAGGACTTTCTATGACTCCAGTTCTAGGTGACTCAATGCCCATTACAAACAAACAAAAAACAATGCACATAAAATAAAAAATAAATTAGTTTTAAAAACTGGGGAGAGCCAGGCGTTGGTGGTACACGCCTTTAATCCCAGTATTAGGGAGGCAGAGGCAGGCAGATCTCTGCGAGTTCGAGGCCACTCTGGTCTACAGAGCAAGTTCCAGGACAGCCTCCAAAACAATACAGAGAAACCCTGTCTGGCAAAACAAAACAAACAAACAACAAAAACAAAAAACAAAAACCTCCCAAAATCCAGGGAGACACATTGTGTGATATTTGTTCCTTTAATGAAGATTTGTTGTTTAACAGGCACATGAATGAATAAATAAAGTACTTTTTAAATGGGCAGTTTTAACCAGTAAGGCTTGGATAGTTGGCTGAAATATCACTCATAGTAGAGAGGAGATGAAAAGAAGATGATACCAGTAGACTATGGAAAATTGACTTGCAAATGGAGCCAGTGTCAAGATGAAGACTGTCTTTGGAGCTGCTATGTCCACAGACAATCTTAAGCTAATCTTATATCAATAATGGAAGATCATTGTAGGTTATTTGGTCATCTTTGCCCTATTAGGACCCCTGATCCTAGAGGTTCTTTCTTCCCAGTTGCATGTGGGCTTCTATTGTTTCTGTTAATGGGAGACTCACCATTTCTTTTCCTTGACAAGTTGGGTTTAAAACTCAACAGCTATAGAGTCATGTAGACTAGTCTACATTAAAATATACTCCTGAATGTTGCCAATTATATTCCAGAATTGAGGATTGGTACTTGTGGATAGGAACTCAACTTTCTCGAAATCTTGGAGATCTTGTTCTATTTAAAGAGTGAGAAGGAGTGGGGAGGTGGAGAATGTGTTAGTCAGGGTTCTCTAAAGGAAGAGAACTAACAGAACAGGAGATTTATTAGATGGGCAGTCAGGGTAGTCTAACAATGCCTGTGTCACACTGGAGAGGCAGAGAATCCAGCAGTTGTTCCATCTAGCAGGCTGGTTGTCTCAGCAGTCGCAATCTGGCACAGAAGGCCTGTAATATTCCTTGAGAGCTGATGGTCTTCAGTGTACTTGGGAATCCCACAGAATTTGGCCTTCATATTGGTGAAGGACTGTCACAGCACAGGGATAGAAGACCATGACAGTGAGAGGACAAGCAGGCAAAAGCAAAGCTTCCTTCTTCCATGTCCATTGACCTGGGCTGCCACAAGACGATGTGACCCAGATTTAGGGTGAGTCTTCCTGCTTCAAATAATTTGATCAAGAAAATACCTCACAGGAATGCCCAGCAAACTGTGCTTCAGTTGATTCCAGATGCAGTCAAGTTGACAATCAACATTGGTCATCATAAATATAAAGGAGGTAGTAGAAAAAAAAAAGGTACCTTCAAATTGCCAACTATTACATGAACTTGGATTAATAAAAATGGAAAAGAGAATCTAAGAGATATGGTAAGTATGGGTCCACTGGATAATATGTATCTATTGGCCACCAGGAGAGTAGACTCTATTTGTCAATATCTGTTTTTCCCTTGCACCATTCACACACGTCTCCTGAACTTGGATGGCACTCCGCAAGGAAACTTGTAGATCATTGCCATGTTCTTTCTCCAGACAGCCCTTGATGTTTGCTTTTGGAAATTAGATTTAGATTGAAGATGTGACTCAATCTTACAGCTGCTTTCCCTTCTTGAGAACTTATGATCTGCTCTTCAAAACTTGATCTTCTTGTCTAGTGAATCAGTATAGATCGGATTAGCTGTTTGTATTAGATTTTCTGTCTATCACTTTTCTGGCATTTTTATGTTTCCCTGAGTCCTAGCTGGAATACTGTCCTGGTCTATAATATATTCATTTCTAGGTGTCACTCTGCATTTTCCAACTATAATTAAAATTGCCCATTTTGTGGACATTTTAAAAACTGAACTAGGTCAGAAATGTTTTTTTTTCCCTTGTATGAGGTACTAGAAAAAAGTATAGTTTGTTACATCATCATTTGTGTCAGATAAATTGTCCTTGCCTCTTGGAGAAAAGTCTGGGGTAACTTCACTTCTCTATTCCACTTCCATTCTTTCTTTCTTTTCTTTTCTCTTCTTTCTTTCTTTCTTTTTTTTTTTTTGACTTTTCAAGATAGGCTTTCTCTGTGTAGTCCTGGTTGTCTTGGGATTCACTCTGTAAACGAAGTTGACCTTGAACTCAGAGACCTGCCTGCCTCTGCTCCCTGAGTGCTTGGATTAAAGGGCCATCACTGCCCTGCTCCACCTCGATTCTTATCACTTCATACACTTCTCAAATGTGATGGGGCAATTGGCTGATAACCACCTTTGAAGGCTTGTATATTGGCTCTCTTAAGAATAACAACAGATTGAAAATCTAGGTAAAACTCAAAAAGTTAGTAAAATGTGAGGAACTAATTTTATTTTATAACAATGAAGCATGTAGGCAGGACAGAGGACAGCAGTTTCCTGAGTCTTTGAGAACCCAATTGGCTTCATTTAAAAAATATTTTTATGTAAAATCATCACATATCTGCATGTTTTTTTCTTGATGTTTTCTGTTGGAATCAGAAAGAGTTGGTTTACAGTCCTTATCATGGAGTGTAGACAGAAAGTGTTAGGGATACAGAAGTAAGGAGAAGGGGGTGTTAAGAAGAGGTGTTAGTTCTTTTCTTTCTTTTTAAAAAATCTATTTATGTTTATTTTTTGTGTGTTAGTGTTTTTCCCACATGTTTGCCTAGGTGAGGGTGTCAAATCTTGGAGTTACAGACAGTTATGAGCTTCCATGTGAGCACTAGAAATTGAACCCAGGTCCTTTGGAAGAGCAGCCAGTGCTCAAAAATGCTGAACCATCTCTCCAACCTCATAGTTATTTTCAAAGGAAAAAATGCTGCACATTGAGGACCATAGTTGAGGTCTGAAGAATTTTTGATTTAAAGAGAACAAGATTTTATGGATAAAAAGACCCTCTTTACCTTTAAAAGGTTTTGGGAATTGCAATGGTTAATCTTAATTGTCAACTTGATTGGAGTGGTAAACACCTAGATTAGGAGAGCAGATCTCTGTTTTTGAGGCAATTTACGGGGCTACTGGCAGTGGGACCAGGATTTATCCCAAGTGCTTGAACTGGCTTTTTGGAACCCATGCCCATTCCCTATGGGGGGATACCTTGTTGATATAGACATAAAGGCAGGGAGGGTCTTTGTCCTGCCTCTATGTGATATGACAGACTTTGTTGACTTCCCATGGGAGGCCTTACCCTCTCTGAGGAGTAGATGGAGGAGTGGAGTGGGGGAAGTTGTGGGAATCAGGAGGAGGAGGAGGAGGGGAACTGGGTTTGGTATGTAAAACATTGGTTGTTAATAAAAAGAGAGAGATTAAGCAGAAAGGAAGCTTCCTGAATGGAGTGGTACCAGCAAATACATAGGGGACCTAAAGCGAATAAAGGAGAAGTAAGCCTTTATTTAATGTTCAGACATTCTTCTCTGTTTTCTGGTCTCCATGAAGTGAGCAACTTTACCACCC